CTCATGGCTCATGGCTCATGGCTCATCGCTCATGGCTCATGGGCCATGGCTCACCGTGAAGGCAGGGTCGCGGCGCCACTGACTGGGGAAGTACTTGTTGGAGGGGGTGAGCGAGGTCTCCGCCACCACCTGCACTGCCAGCATGGCGCCCAGATAAGACACTATCTCGCGTGCCTGGTGGTGTGGCAGAGGGGTGCGGGTGTGGGTTGGGGCGCGAGCTGGTTGGGGTGCGGCGAGGGTGCAGCGTGGCAGAGTTGAACTGGGCAAAGGGGTGAGCGAGGTTTCCGCCACCACCTGCACTGCCAGCATGGCGCCCAGACGAGACACTAATTCGCGCGCCTGTGGGGTTGGGGGAGGAGTGTGGTAGAGCTGAACAGAACAAGGGGTGCGTGTGGGGAAGAGAACCAACCGGCAGCACCAGCAGCACACACTTGGAAGTTTCTGCTGTGCTGCCTGGCTCGCACACACCTGGTCAACGCTGGCGCACACCTGGTCAACGCTGGCACACACCTGGTCAACGCTGGCACACACCTGGTCAACGCTGGCATACACCTGGTCAACGCTGGCACACACCTGGTCAACGGCTGCCACACACCTGGTCAAATGCCGGTTCAAGCCGAAAGTTCTCCCCAACGGCCCACAGAGGTGCTTGGTGCGATGAAGAGGAGGCAGAGGAGGAAGAAGAGGAGGACGCAGAGGAGAGAGGGGCTGAGAGGCGTGATGCCTCAGCATGTAGGGCGAGGGCCTGGGGGTAGTCTGGGTGGTGGTTGATGCGGTGGAGAGAGGTGTGAGGAGGTTGAGAGGGGTGAGGAACGGAGGTGTGGTGGAGGGGGAGGGGAGGTTTGGGGACAGAGAGTGAGAGCGGGAAGGAGGGGCAGGAGGGAGGGTGCTGAGACCAATGGTTTTGTGAGCGGATGGAAGAGAAGAGGGGTGACAAGGCGAAAGTGACAACCATTTGAGTGAGTGAGTCTGGAGTGAGGGCAAAAGGAGTACTTATCTAAATAAGAAGCAACGTGCGCATATGGGCATGACGATTGATAAGTGTGTCTGCGGTACTGTGTGACTGCGTAACTGCGTAACTGTGTGACTGTGTGATTGAGTGACTGTGTGCCTGTGTGCCTGTGTGCTTGTGTGTGTATCCACAGGCACGTGTGTGTGTGCCAGCGTGCTTGTTGGGGGAGTTTCACCTGCCGCTATGGGCTTCTCTGGAGGGGGGTACAAATGAGGGAGAATGGGAGAATGGGGAAACGAAAGGGAGAGGGAAGGAAAGGGAAGGGCGGGCGGACGGGATGGAAAGGAGAAAGGGAGGAGACGAGGAGGTTAGGGCGCAGAGAGGAGAGAATGAAGTCCTGAGTGGGAGAAGGGCATGTGGAAGGAAGGAACACGAGAGCTGCAAGCGCTGCAGAGCATGCGGATTAGAATGGGCTAGATCTATTAGGCATTGGTGATCGAGGGCAGGAAGGAGGGAGGGAGGGAGGGAGGGAGGGAGGGAGGGAGGGAGGGAGGGAGGGAGGGAGGGAGGGAGGGGGAGAAGCGAAGGGAGAGTTACCTTGCATGACGTGCTTTCCCGCCTTCAAGAAACGCAGCACCAGCTCTGGCTGGTAGGGAGAGGTCATGGCCGCACGGGAAGGAAGTGTGAGGGGGGAGGAGGAGGAGGAGGAGGAGGAGGAGGAGGAGGAGGAGGAGGAGGAGGAGGAGGAGGAGGAGGAGGAGGAGGAGGAGGAGGAGGAGGGGAGGGGAAAAGGTAAGGAGAAAGAGGAGAGGAGAGGTCCATTCGGAGAGGAGAGGAAGAGCTCAATGCATAGACATGTAGACTGCATTCCTTCCTGACTGTGCTTCCTTCCTTCCTGCCACGTAGCCACTCCTTCCTGCCACGTAGCCACTCCTTCCTGCCACGTAGCCACTCCTTCCTGCCACGTAGCCACTCCTTCCTGCCACGTAGCCACTCCTTCCTGCCACGCACGTCCCTTCTCCCTTCCCCTTGAACTTGCCAGATCAGTCACTTGGCACGTAGGTTGCATTGCACACGCACAGACACACTGATTGGATAAGAGTCGCGGATAATGTGGTGGCTATGAGTTGAGGTAGCTCGACGCACGAGGACCACAACGACTTGGGATTATAACGAACCTAGATAATAACGAACCTGGACCTGCACTGGCAGCACCAGCACACACGCCTCGACCTCCTCGCTCCGCTCGATGCGCGCCAAGCCCTCCTCTCCCCACACCACCTCCACCGCCGCCGCATTTCCCGCCGCCACCCACGCTGCTGCTAGCGCTTCCGCCGAGCCCTGGGAGCGGCTCCAGATGAATCGAAGCGCGATCTCGGACTTGATGTCTTTCAGTATAGGCAGATACGCGTCGCGAGCGAATATTCCCGCGCCTAGCAGCGCGATCCGCACGGGCTGTGGCGGAGGATTCGCCATTGGTGGGCTGAGTGGGGCAGATGGCTTGGGCGCCTGGTGATGGCGGTGGTGGTGGGCGCGGTTGAGAATCATGTTGTGTACGCGTTACAATCGGTGGCGGAAATATCTTGCAGATTAATATTGGCAGGTAAGCTGATACGACATATCTCACAAGAGTAGCTTTGTATCCAAATCCACTGGTTTTTTAGTTGTGCTTCCATACAAGGTCGTCTTGCAATGCATACAAAAGAACACCACTTGAATTTACTGGGCATTTAGGCATACAAAACATGTACACTTAATTCTTAACCCCAAGAATGAACACTGCCAACTATAGCAAACAGGTACAGCCTGTTACCAGTAGTACTAGGACCAGGCCAGGCTGATCATACTACTACTATAGTGATTCTTAGGCAATTATTACCACCCATTATCATGTACACAACACAACCACAGCAGCCAACATGCACCCTCCATTAATAGCAAGGAGGCGGGCAGAGGACTGAGAGGGTGGGAGGAAACAGAGGGACAGGACTGGACAGGACAGGACAGCACACGAAGGACAAAAAACAGAGGACGGAAAGTTGAAGCAACACCAGTATTAGCAGTTACCAAGTCACCAAAATGGGGCGGAAGCAGCGAGGAAGCAGGACACAGAAACAACCAAGAGCACAGGTCCACTTGGGAAAAAAAGGAAACAGATGTTGCCTTGAACAACCAAGAGCACGGCTCGGATTTATTCAGGTTCAAGAAGCCCTGCGCTGTGCTGAGCTGTGCTGTGTAGTCCTGAATGAAGACCGTAGATAGATGCAGACTCAGCTCCAGACTGGAGATCAGACTCTGGCACACAGCTGTCGCATCGCTTCAAAGTTTGCAAGCCTCTGAGAGTCCAGAATCAGGTAAGGCTCGGAGTGTAGAGTAGGTAAGGGGCCGGAAGGAACATCACCACCACCACCGCCACCACCACCAGCACCACCATCACCACCAGCACCTTTGATGTTGGCCAATCCTGCAACGCATGGCGCATAGAGGCGAATGAACCGCGCCAACACCTGCTGCATAAACTCACAAGTCATCCCTCCCTACGCTGCCGCACGCTTCTGCTGCACGAGCCGCATCTCTCCCCCACTGCTGCGCCGCTGCAGCCGCAGTAGCATCCCTCGCGCTCACTAACCGGGGAAGAGTCCGCAGCCTCAGCCTCGGTCCCATTTTCTTTCAGATCCGCGTCGTGCGCGCTCAACGCGTTGTGCGCTCCCGTCGCCCGCTCAGTCAGCTCGTTCAAGCCCCGCTTGCGTATGGGGAGATTGCGGCCCGCAGCATGCTCATCCGACCCTGGCAACGAACCCCCGTCAACGTCACCGTCAACGTCACCGTTACCTCCGCCACTCGACGCTGTTTGGCATTCAGCTGCCAACGATTCCGTCTTTCCGGCGAGTCCATCGCCGCAATTGCCGGCGTCCGTCGTCACAGCACTGCTTCCGCTCCTGCTTTCACGGATATCGTCGCTCCCCACCCTACACATAGACGTATCCGAGGGCTCTGCGCGTTCCGCAGCTCCCACCACCGCCTCCGCCTCCGCCGCCACTGCAAGCGCAGCGGCTGGCGCTGGCGCTGGCGGTGCCGCCGAATCGTCCGCGGAAAGAGGAGTCTCCTCCCCCGCAAACCAGCTATCGCCACACTCCGTCTCGCCCCAAACGGCCGGATGGAACGAGTGGAGCGGGTAGCCCGTAACAGACTGAGCCTTCGCCTCGGAAGGAGAACTGGGACGAGGACTGCTGCTGCTGACTGGCGATGACGGCGATAGTGACGGAGACGATGACGGAGACGATGACGGAGAGGATGACGGAGACGATGACGAAGGACTGGAACACAGTCCGCCACGAACACTGTGGCTTTCGGAGAAAGAATCGGCGTCGGATGCGTACGAGAGGAGAGAGGGCGGAAGGAGCGCGCAATCCGCGAGCGAGGGCGCGCAGGGAGGCGCGGAGAATTGCGCGGAGAGGGCGGGTGAGGCGACGTGCGCGTCGCAGTGGATGATGCAGCCATGGAGCATTGGACAGTCGATCATCACGACCTCCCCGTCATCTGCGCCTTCCTCAAATTCTTCCCACATGCAACGCGGCTGGCGACCTTTGATTGGTGCAAACTCGAGTGGAACTGATTGAAGGGCCTTTTCAGGCATGAACTCAGCCTGCTCTGTCAATTCGTCCATGCGACTGGGGAAAACGGATGAAAACGCCATGCGAGAGAGAGAGCCCGAATGAGAAGGACGTCTGAATTGATGTAAAGGTTCAATCACAGGCTCGAAGCTCAGAGGACGCACAGCATGACTGATGACAATTCGAGGATGAGTTCTGAAATAACTGTCTTTTGGTGAAGCTGAATTTCAAGGAACTAGCAATCTCGAAACATTCGAGCAAGCAGCAGAAGACGTTGGGGGGCAATTGAGCGCGAGCAAATGAAATGAAGGACGAATGCAGGTGCGTGCGAGTGAACAGGCGAGACGGACGGAAAGAGATAGACAAGCCAATGGAATAAACTTTGAGGTCGTGTCCGTAGGGATGACATGTCAAAGCGGGCAGTGTCAATTTGGCATTTTGACACTCAGCCAACATTGTTGGCAGGGTGTCAAGAAATTGCATGTTGCCATCCAATACAAATCGTCGGACACTTTCTAAATTGGCACAGTCAAACCTACAAACGAGAGAAGATGGTCGCAGGTGCCTATCTCACGACCAGATGCTGCCCAATCAGCACACAATCTGTCTTTTGAATTGTTCGCTACCTGGCAGATCCACCCATGACAAATTCTCAAACCAATGAAATTCCGTCGCTGATGTTCGTACATGCGCTTCGACTTGACACTTCAGCTACAATGTTTGACACGCTAATTTGAATGCGCTTCGGTTTGACACGCCCTCACTTGACATGTCAAGCCTACGGACACGAACTGAACCTGGCTTGGTGGCAAGGAGCAAGCGGGAGGATGCGGAGCGGATTTGCGCGAGCTGAACTGGATTGAATGGATGAGTGGGTACGGCACACATCAAGGGCGGCTCGGGGCAATTAAAAGTTTCTGGCTGGGGGGGATTGTGGGGGATGCTGGCTTTCCAGCTGTGTGTTGAGGTGGGCCGGGTTCGGAATTGGGGCAGGGAGTCAAATCCTTTTCTGGATTGGTTGAGGGAAATTGTCGGGTTTGTTCTGACCGGAAGATGCAACGCTCAGGTCCAGGTTCCAGCCTAGGGTCTTTGACCAGGCATGGTTCAAGATGTGTACCAATCGAGGTTGCCTACCTCAGCAAGGTGAGAAACCAAAAGTTTGTACACTATTCCCACAAGTTCGAAATTGCAGAGTGGCGGGTCATGTTGCAGTTTATCATCCATTCTCGCAGTAATGATGAGACGCTAAAATGCCCTACGAGAATAACTCACGTGTACACTGCTCCGATCTCTACACCCTCATTCTCAGTCTACGCACAATCGGGAGCAGCGACAACAGTGTTGTCAGGTAGCGTCTCTGTGCTTGTGGCCGAACCCCCTAATGTTGCCAGGCACACCATGCACCAAGCGCCAAAACAGTAACATTCGAAACGACTTGTTCACTTTGTCCTACACTGTGGCCAAAGATTCCACATCAAAACACACAAGAAACAGACAATTCCTAACACAGGTTCAAAACACATACAGAATATCTACGTTCGGTAGAAAGGGGTAACGTATGGTAGAGCGAAAAGCAACGGCAGCCAACCACACATGTGAGCGCACCGCACACTTCCTGCCAGTCAAAGTCAACAGCTGCATTACCAACGTGGCAGTCGTGATTGTGCTTGTAGAGTATGTGCATGCACCATTCTAGGCACGTTGCAGTCACTACAAGCGTTCGGTGCATGTGGCGATTGTGCACAGACTGAGAATGAGGGTGTACACAAAATTATTCCAGTCAAATGGTTTGTTTGCGTTCTCGGATGATGATGAGGCGCGTAAGGGTTGGTTCTGTGATCACCCTGCTACAATTGGCTTCTTCAACACGTGTAAGAGGCATCAGTCGGAAGTCGTTGATAGCAGCAGTACAGTACAGTACAGTATCGCGGGCACAGAAAGATGTCGTGGGCAATGACCGAAGGGACCAAACTAACGCGCCTCGCCAGCCGTTGGTTGAGGACCCGTACTGTACCCAATGGAGACACGCACCCTCCGTTTCGTAAATGCACATTCTGGAAGTGTAGAATATCATCGACAATTGGCTGACTCGGACGAATACTGCTTTGACTACTGACGAATTAGGGTATGACAACACACGGAAGGGCACGGATTTTGTGCGTGAGTGATGTGGAATCCGAACATTGTTCAGATGCCAGGAGATCCATCACTTCAAGAACCACTCACAATGCAGCATGTCAGGCAGACTCAAAGATGCCACGTCATCTGCATCCTTCGCCATTCTGTTTTCCTCGGGGTGCAGTGCTGGCATCCCCATCCCCGTCTAAATTCTAATGGGCATTTATCTGAGAGGTAACACTCTTGGAGCTCGATTGCACGCGAGGTAAGCTACGTGTCGAAATCGTAACAGAGATGTCTTCTCATCGCCACCATGGTAACCAGGATTGCCGAGATGGTCAGCATTATTGCCTGGATGGTAATGAACAGTGCATCCGGAAACCCTGGCTGGTAACTTCACGTCCCAACCAAACTGTACACCGTACAAGAAACTGTAAAGAAACTGACTACACGTTCCACGTCAGATTTGACTAAGCAAAAAGAAACTGACTGTCCGCGTACACACCCACAGAATGCGCAATTCTCTTTATAATAGCGGCCTTTACAATCCGCGACAGTGAAAACTCGATATGCAGAATTGTAATCCGTAAAAAACAAACAAACAAACATTAAACATTTATCATAGAATTAAACGCCACAAAAAAACACACACAATGTCAAACCGCAAAGCTAAAGTTATTTTAACCTACCAGAAATATAATTCCGAAATGGGAAAAGACCAAGTAGCAATGTTTTTAATGTGAGCTGAACAATATCATTTTTTTTTTTTGCAAATGACAGATAGTAAAAGTTGCATAAGAATGAAAACCTTTTTTA